CCTCCTCCTTCTCCTCCACCTCTCCCTCTCCTCTCCTGGTGGCACATCCTTCCCTCCATTCCCCATGAGCTGTTCAGGACCCTCTGCAAAGGCTGACCCACCTTCTGGGGGCATTTTCTTGGCCGGAGCAGCTGGAGGGGGCAGTGGCACGAGGCTGGTGACACGGAAGCCGGCGGGGAGGGTCTCGGCGGAGCCGCTGAGGAGGTTGATGCTGTGCATGTCCCGTGGGCGGAAGCGCTTGCGCCAGGATGGCGTCCGACGGAAGGTCTTGTCATCGCCCTGGTGGGGGGAACAGCTTGTTACAGGCCCGGGACTGGTGCCAGCAGCGCCTTCTGCCCCCATGAGACACCTGCTAAGGTGTGCCCGTCCTTGGGGACCAGCTCTAGCAAAGAGTGGGGTCACACTGGGCCAGCGACACGGGACACCTTGCTGGGATCCCATGGCATCAGCTTTATCCTTTCCAGCTCATCTCTCTCTTCTCTCCAGCCTGCCAGCACAGATGTCTTGGAGACATCAACACAAACATCCCAGGAAACACCCCAAGGGATGCTGGGCTCATGGCAGAGGAGCTCGAGCCCTCAGAGCATCTCCATGGTCTCCTCTGGACTCCCTCCAGCAGCTTCACATCCTTCTGACATTGGACCCCAGGGCTGGAGCAGCTCTGCAGGTGGGGTCTCACCTGAGTGGGGCAGAGGGGCAGAATCCCCCTGCCCTGCTGCCCACGCTGGGGGATCAGCCTAGAAACAGATCAGTTTCTAGGCTGCCAGAGCACGTGGCTGGGGCACGTTGAGCTTCTCATCCACCAACACCCCCAAGTCCTTCCCCGGTCACACAGCACATGGAGAGGTTTGGCACTCACATCATCCAGCCTCCGGTCTGTGCCCAAGGCAAGCAGGTTGTTGAACTCCCTCTCCAGCACTTGTCGAGCCTGCAATTAACCAAAAATGATCATCCCCCATCAACAGGAAATGTGCTTTCAGCCCAAACTCCCATCCTAGGAAAACCTGAGTGTGACAGAAAGAGCCCCTGTGCCATGGGAGAGCTCTGCTTTGAAAGGCAGAGCTGAGTTGGTGTCACTGATGGGGACACACTGCAGCAGTGTCCCACATTGGCCACTCTCCTCCAAAATGCCCCAAGGATGCTGCTCCTACCTGGGTGTTCTGGGTGGGAATCTGCAGCACGAGGGCCAGGCTGTTGTGGTCGAAGTTCTCGTCGAGGGCCAGCAGGGCCCCGTGCACGCCACTCTCCACCAGGTTGTTGCCGTACTCGCGCAGCCCAATGGACTGGATCCAGTGAATGACCTGGTCATTGGTCCACACCAACACATCTGCACGAGAGGAAGGGCACGGCTCAGGGCCACCTCACACCATGCTCAGAGCTCTGAGGAGACCTGGGGATGTCCCGAGACCCTTTCCCATTTCCCCAGGCTAATCCTGGGACTCCCCAAGCCAGCAGAAAACCGAGAGCTCAAGTACCAGGGACAGCTCAGTTCAATTTACCAAGCTCAAAGCTGAAATAACAGGCAGAAAACAACTGTGAAAATTAATCCTAAGAACCCACGGCTGCTGGTGTAATTAGGGGCATTATCAATAATGAGATGTAATCCAAGCCACAGCCAGATGTGCAGGGAATCTCAGGACAGTGACGAGGAAGGGAAGGCTGAGCAAGCTGGGGGTGTCCTGAGCAGTGAAATGGGC